GTTTATACTGAGCTGTGTGAGTTAATTTATTCTCCCAACAACCACATCATTATGAAGAGAGCCAGTATTGAGAGCATCATATTTATTCTGTTTGGCGTCTCCAGTAACTGGTGTGAGTGAATAAAGACTTCATTTTTATCGTCTCATTCCTTCTACTCAATTTGTTCTTAGCTCACTTTCTAAGTCATTTGGACACTTAGTCCATTTACTTTCATTCTTTGTTTCTAGGAGGATTGAGACTGTAAAGCTTCTTATAAGCCCAGCTTTCATGGAACCGCCTTGGTTTGAGTGAATAAAAATAAACAGAACATGTAGGACAGAAGCTAAGGAATATTTTTTATTCAAGTTCCTTCCAGCTCTAGGTTTTTAATGTAACTGTGGTGGCACAGTGCCTAAGGTATTTGACTGCTAACCAGAAGGCTGGTGGTTCAAACCCACCAGCCACTCATCAGAAGGAAGACTGGGCAATCTACTTCTGTAGTGATACTGTCTCAGAAACCCAAGGAGTGGTTGCTATGAGTCAGATCCAACTGAACAGCAGTGAGTTTGGTTTGGTTTGGTTTATTTTAAGCAGGACTTTGGTAATATCACAGCTTCCGGGAAAACATGTCTCTCTTTAGAAGTGCTGAAGCAGTCACCTCTGTCAGTACCCTGGCCAGAGCATTTGGGGGGTTTGGGCATGTTTCAATTTGACTCACCTCTCTTCTCTTCTCTTCTCCTCAGGCCATGCTGAGGACCAACCGGGGCACTGTTGGAGGCTTCTTCCTGGCCGGCCGTGATGTGGCCTGGTGGCCGGTGAGTGGGCCAGGGTTTTTGGAATTAAAATCCCTGTGCATACACAGGAGCTGTGTATATACATGGGAGCTCTGGTGGAGTACTGCCTCACGCACTTGAACGCTAACCAGAAGGCTGGCACTTCAAACCCACCAGCCACTCCTCGGAAGGAAGGTTGGGTAATCTACTTCCGTAGAGATACTGCCTCAGAAACCCAAGGAGGGGTCACTTTGAGTCACATTTGACTCAACAGCAGTGAGTTTGGTTTTCGGTTTTGGAGTATACATGAGAGTGAATAAAGAAAACATGGAGAAAGATGATATTTCCTGAACTACACTAGGTACCCATTTGCTGGTATCTCTTTTCCTAAACCCTGACCTCAGGGCTCTTTCCTGTAGTTTTAGCAAATTATAGTTTGACACAAGTTATGAGAGACAATTATCTGGCACTTAAAGATCCCTAGTTCAGCTGTCCCTCTGATTCTTTTTCCCTGTTACTCATCAAGAATTTTCTCCCTTGACTTCTTACTATCCCAACACATTCCTTCTTTGGTCCCAAGTCTGAGCTAATGCTTTCCCTCCTGTTTGGATTGGCCTCCCCTCAGCTGCTGCCTTCCCTCAACTCCCAGCTCAAGCCCTTCTTCATGTGGACCATTCCAGCTCACTCCAGCCCTCACCTGACCACTGAGTCCTTATGTTGATTGGAGTTAGTTGGTAATAGATTGTGTGTTGCCCTGTGGTGTTGAAGCTTCTTTGACTCTTGCCCAATTGGTGTTTTCCTTGCTGAGTCTGGCCTCCTCCTGTCTTCCCATTGCAGCAGAGGGTGCATTTTCTTCTCTAAACCACTTAAAGTGTCAGAACCTGATTGGATATTGAATGGGTGTTCAAGTGCCTCATTCACAGATCTACTGGATTCATCATCTTTATAGTATGGAAATATATGAAGATTTGGAAATGACCTGAACAGAATGACTAAAGAGGATAGCCAATGACCAACTGAAAGCTTGAAATAGATTTTTATTGGGGTGTCCAATCAGACATTACCTACTATATCCTTTTATATAGCACTATTGGAGAGTGGGAATATTCAGAGCTGAACCAATCACATAGCTACAAACAACTTCAATCCCATCTCTGGGCCCCAAATGTCTGAACAGAAAAGGTGACTTTATAGAGGGCTAGAGTGTGGGAACAGAAAGTAGTGTGCTTGAAGAGTGGGGCACTGCAGGGACCCCACCACCCAATTCTGTTCTATCAGGACCAGGGCTTATCCATGCCCTCTCAAGAGATTTCTCTTGATCAAGAGGCTTAAGACCAGTAGGCAATGTGATGGATGAGAAGGGGGTCCCAGGGCCAGGAGGATGGAGGAAAGCACTGTTCTTCCCCAGCTTTGATCATAAGACTAAAGGCTGATGGGAAGTCTGAAAGTTCTTGAACAAGACAGGCTCAACTCAGAGTTGGAGGTAGATAGACCAATGTTCCCCTAAGGCAGCAGTTGGCAAGATTTTTTCTGTGAGGTGCCAGATTGTAAGTACTTATGCTTTCAAGGCACATCTATGACAGCCACAAAACTCTGCTTCTAGCACAAAAACAGCTAGTGTCAATACATAAACAAATGGGTGTGACTGTGTTTCAATAAAACTTTATTCGTGGATACTTAAGTTTTTAATGTCAAGTTTTTAACCTTCACAAGATATTCTTCTTCTCTAGTTTCTTTGTTTATGTTTTTGTTTATTTTAACATTCAAACATGTAAAGACCGTTCCTAGTTTAGGGTCCCTGCAAACAAGCAGTAGGCAGATTTGGCCCACAGCCATAGTTTGCTGCTTCCTGCCCATATACATTTCAATATTTACTTATTTTCAAGAATTCTGACTTGACAAGGAAACGTTTATCTATGGAAGGACATTTTCTTTGTTGGTTACCAGGGGTGGGAGGGGAGAGGAGGGAACTCTGTTAGACAGATAGAGATAAGTTTTTATTTGGGTAAAGAGAAGGACAATGTACCAAATGTGAGTGATCAATATAGTGGCACTGAAGAAGAGAAAGACAAGAAGAGGTACGTGGGAAATACAAACAACAAAGAAGAACCCTTTTGCACATATACTATGACATTGTTAATGAAGGCAAACATGGGTATATGGGTGGATAGATGGATGGACAGGCTGAACTATTAGCTATGTCTATGAAGTGGAGAGTGTACCCAAGAACATGTATAGGGTTGGCAGACAATGGTCCTATAACTTTATGTGTAT